TCAGCCCGTCTTGCCTCAGAGTAATGTTCGAAAAACTCTCGGCCCATCGCGGTCCATGGGCCGGCCCATTAGGACCTTTGATCCAGATTCATTTTTGGTTACCGATTTATTCGACAAAAATGGACTTATTCGAACAAATTTTCAGAACTAATAAGTTAAAACCTAAAGTTTACAAACATGGAACACTAGTTTTTGGAAGAACGTTGATGCCCACGAGGCTATGTTTTGCTTATGGGGTACGAATGTCAACGTTTAAACTGACTAGTTTTGAAAACTTGTTCTATGTATATCAAAATAGTTCGTTTTGTTTTCTCATTATTCTTTTCGATGACAACTGAAAATTTTCTATGATATGTTTCAAATGTATTTTTCTTAGTTGATAATAGATGAAATTTCTTCAGTAATACCAGAACTAAAGCTTAAAAATAGGTATCTGTTTACCTTTTCTACGCGAAAAGAAAAACTTTAAATAAGTTTCTATTACTAACCAAAAATCAGTTCATTCGAGCAAACCGAAGTCAAAATATTTCAAATTTTTATTGTAGTGTTATTTATGGTCCACTATGTATATAAATTACGTCCTTATTTCATTTCTGAAGGATTAACTAAAAGGATAATGCAGAAACAGGTTTCAAAATAGACAGAATAAAACAATCTCCTTGTGATTGTCAACAGCAGCTTCATCGTGTTTCACATTTTAATCCCGCAGGGATTGTGCTAACAGCTTTTTCTATTATTATGACTTATTTTGTTTCTTTTTCAAGGCTAATGTGTTTTCAATGATGGGTTATTTTACACCTTATGTATTTCTTCCTAAGTATGCTTCAATAGAAAGAGGTATTCCTGAAAGTAGAACCGTGTTTCTAGTATCAGTTATTGGTAAATAGAATGATTTTATTTATTTATTTATTTATTAGAGAATTCTTCATATTTAGGTGTTAGTAATACAATTTGTCGATTTGCATCTGGTTGGATAACAAAAATTCCTTCGATGTCACCATTACTTGTCAATAATGTTGGTTTAATGATTGGTGGTGGACTTACATTACTTGTACCGTTATGCCAAACATATTCCCATTTTATGGTTTATTGCTTTATTTGGGGTGCTTTTGCTGGTAAAATGGTTTTTGTTTTTGTTTTGTTGAAAATTTATTTTGAATTATTTTATTTTATTTTTTTATCTAAGCATTTCATATGTCGTTAAGCCCCATAATTGTTTGTCAAATTGTTGGTCTTGAACTTTATAGTAGTGCATTGAGCTTAATTTTAATGTTTCGTGGCGTAGCAACACTCGCTGCTCCACCTGTAAGTTTTTATGTTTCGACAGATTTTTTTAAATTTTTGTCGAGAAATTTTTATTTAGATCCTGGGTGCAACACGTGATATAACTGGAAGTTTTGCTACGGCATTTATAATTAGTGGTTTTGCTTTTATAATAAGTTCCCTAATGCATTTTTCTCTTAATTGGATGGATCGTTCAAATAAAGTAGAAATTGATGAAACAAATAAGGCTAAAGAATTTCAGGGAAATTCAGTTGAAGCTGGAGTTTAATTTTGATTTTATTTATTGTGATATCCTTTTTTTTTTAATTTTACTAAATCTTATATTCGATTTCCTTTTCTTTTTTTTTTTAACATTGCATTTTAGTTTCGCAATACTAACAGTCTAGGTTTTTTTTTGTCCAAACAAACATGTAGTTTTAGTAGAATTTTTTTTTTTAATTTATTAACCTTTTTTTTTCTTCAAATATATAGATAAGAAATCCTATTTCAGGTATTAAATTAAAAAAGATATCATGGAAATTTTATTCAATATGAAGAATAAAAGTTTAAAAGGATGAATGTTATAAGAAAACACGCTCAAACATAAACATCATTATTTCAATTAAATCTTTATGTTGTTATGTGATAGATGGAAGTAATCGATGTCGAATAAATACGATATGATATCGAAAATTCAATTAGATTTATTTTAATATTATTGATTAGGTCTTGCATTCTTAATAATTGATTTTATTGATCATTTTTGATAAATGAATTATCTCAAGTAGATCTTTTTATATTCAATCTCGGTTCAATTACTTCTGAAAAAACGTCATAATTTGAAATATATCATGAAGATATATTTCAATTTCATACTTTCGTTCTAATAAACATTTCTTTTTTTTTTCCATAAGACAAATATGAAATTAAATCATATAAGACTAAGCAAAGCATAAAATAACACTTTTCATCATAGAAAAATTACAAATTTAATCTCTTAATCATGATAAATATATTGAAAAAGAAAAAGTAATTTCTTTTCTCTCCAGAAAGTATCATTTAATTTATTTATTATTAAAAATATAATGCCACATTTACGTGCACGGCTGTGTACTATCACATTGACTTGTAAAACGATTAAAAGTTTGTCCAACTGGACAAACAGCCGCGACAGGTGCTAGAGTAAAAAAAAATAAAATATTTCATATTCAATAAAATCTCTTTCAATAACCTACCACCAGATGCTTGAGGACAATAAAAATATCGTCCTATTGCGCATTGTGCAGTATCAGGAAAGATACCTTGTTGTGTACATGTAAAATAACCTATCGAAAAAGATATTAGAGAATCTTAATAAAAAAATTAAATTAATACAAACGTTGATTGCATGTTATTCCTCTATAGCCAGGTGTACATTGACAATAAGCATATGTACTGGCTCCAATAACTTGTTCGTAACATGTTCCAGCTTGACATAATCCAGCATAACAACGATTTTGAATACCTTATTTTATTTCAAAAATCAATCTTTTTTTTATAAAATAAGAAATATTACAAAAAAAATTAATTTTTACCTTGAACTTCACAATGTGGACCACTATAACCTAATTGACACCAGCATACATGTTGACCACTAACTACATTGCATACACCACCATTGACACATACTTTAGAGCAAGCAGCTTGATATGTATTTGTACCTGTTTTTTTTCGAAAGGTTTGTATATGAAAACTATCTAAGGTTTTCTTACGACAAGGTCCATTAACAACGGGTACAACATTATTTGGGCATACGCATACAGAATGTCCATTACTAGATGGAATATCATAACAACTATAGCCAGTTGATGGTTCAAAAGCACCAGATACAAGATTACATGGATTACTTGCACATGTTACTATGAAATATAAACATAGATAAACCATTTAATATTATTATGTTTACCTGCTTGAGTTATTTCAATATATTGTTGTAAAAAAAGAGTAATAATAGCAATAATAGGCGTACGAATCATTGTGAAATACAATTGAATTAAATTACTTATCTAACTTGCTTTTATATTTATCTATTCAAGAATATAGATATATATGTAAATATTTTTCTATTATGATCTTAATCTTTTATTTTCAATTAATTTTTGAAATCGATATTATAAGTTTTCTGTGAACGACAAAAAACTAATGATAAAAATTAATCAAATTTACTAATACAACAATCAATATGATGTCAAAACAAAAATAAAGGATAAAAAATATATCAATATGATCATATAATAAAAATAATAGTAAATCATTTCATGGTCATATCTCTTCTTTATCATAACAAAAAAATTGATTTTTTTTTTTTTTGTTCTTGACTGTATATTTCGAAATACATGGTCGAAACCATTCGTTATTGATATGACTTTGCAAAACAGAAACATGTATATATCAAGCTAATGAATTTTCCTAGAGTTAATTTTTATATGTTAAGTTACTCTAAAAATCAGCGCTAGACATTTTTATTCAAAGGACTTATCATTAAAAAAAACAACAACTAATGTTAATGACGTGGCACAATAAAAAGATATCGACTTTTACTTCATATATTTTAGTTTCAAAAAAAAAAACAAACTTCGAAGTGATGCAGACTTAAATATTCTGTAGACAATTTCTGAAGTTACAAAATCTCTATTCAAAGTTTTTTTTTGAGCATGCCTAGGTCATCTTTTTTTTTTTCGTTAGCGATAATACTAAGTACAAAGATACAAACAAAAAAAATGTTCTTATAACCAAATGAGAAATTCAAAATTAATTCTAAATGGTAAAAATCCTTCTTCAGAATTTCGAGATGATGATAAGACAAAAATTTTTGTTTTCGAACTTGAGAAGGTCTATATATAACTGAACTTGCTGAAAATATCATCATAGATGCAATTGACGTCGTCGAGTCTATTCTGATATTCTTGGAATTTTTTCGTGTGTGATTAGAGAGATATTCGTTAATTGCTTTTTAATTAATAGTCAGTTGAAAGAGTCAATATTTTTATATATGACTATACTACTAAAAGAACTTATTCAGCAAAATAATCTTTGTAAAGAATCAAAGTCAAATAAACGGTAGGTATGTTTCGTTTTATCTGAAACAGCCCATATACTATTAGTCATTTGACAATCCATAAATTAATCAAGTTGTTGATATAGGAACAATACATGAGGAATACCTAGATGGAAAACAAATATTAAGAACATTGAGCTAATTATAAAATACTATAATAGTCGAATGTATATTATAAATTATATTCAATTGTATCACGTTTTCTATCATTATCATTACCAATAAAATCAAATAATATACAACCGATTTATTTTAATGTTCACATATATTGAGTACATCATTCTAAACTTCATGAATATTCCATATACAGTGGGTCCCAAAACTGTTCAACAAGATGTAATTTGGATTTTTTTTCATAGTCTTAAGTGCTAGAAAGAATCCAAATAGTGATTTGAATAGAGAATATTGTTGCCAGCAAGAATTTAATAAAATGATAACTATCGTAAATTTTTCCAAAGTAGGGTTTCTGGAAAACCAAAACCCTGCTTTTTCAACATCCAAAAGCCGTAACAGAAAACTTGTTTTAACAGTCTAGAATTATAGAGTAGCCAATTCTCTACAAAATAAGACGTCTTCAAGCTTTCTACGACCTTCCATCCGAAAGTTATAAGCATCACAAAAACAGAAAAAAAGTGAAATTTATGGGAAAATCGACTAAAAAACGCATTTTCTCGATTTTTGTGATGCTTATAACTTTTGGAGAGAAGGTCGTAGAAAGCTCGAAGACGTCTTATTTTGCAGAGAATTGGCTGCTATATAATTCTAGACTCTTAAAAAAAGTTTTCTGTTATAACTTTTGGACGTTGAAAAATTAGGATTTAGATTTTCCAGAAACCCTACTTTGGGAAAATTCATGATGGTTATCATTTTGTCGAATTCTTGTTGGCAACAATAATCTCTATTCAAATCACTATTTAGATTCTTTCTAGCACTTAAGGCTACGAAAAAAAATCCAAATTACATCATGTTGAACAATTTTGGGACCCACTATATTTATAATTCAATTATCAAGACGACACAAAGATAGGCAAGTCCGAGTCAGACATTGAAAGTGAATCGAACCGAACCGGGAAAACTCGATTCGATTCAGTCTCTGCTAGATATCGTGCCATAAAAAACTTGTTATTAACGTTCGTGATAAAAATAAATAGAAAACGAAACAATGGTAAAAATATCTTGACTTAACTCATCTATCCCTGCTTTACTCTTTCAATTGGAAAAATAATAAATTTTCTACGATGCTTCTAAGCGAAGAATTACGAACCGAGTTTTCAACAATTACTTTTGCCTTCTATATTGTATTCGATCAAAGTTCCATATTCTTCCTCGCTCTTGATCTTTTCATGTTCATAGAAATGATTAATAGTGAAAGAATGAAGAAACTATACTCATACCCATTTCTCATTATAATCACAATCAAAAAATAAGATGTTTCAATACACGACAGTTTAGTTTGTCGGAAAAATAATTTTTTTTGTTTTATATGTGAAACAGTTATTTCATATACAATCATGCTTAAATAATAATATCAAGAATAATAATCAAATTTTTTCAGCAAAACAAACACTCATTATTTAGGGTCAAAAATTGGTACTTCTACGGATCAGCGAAGTTTATACAATTTAGACTAAATAAAAAAAGGATATTACAATTAGCACTCTTGCATGAGGATTGACTTTTCATTGATTACTTGGAAAGAGAAAAATGAGAAAATGATTAGTGTGAGTATGAATCTTGATTTCAACGATACGCAGATCCACAATAGAGATGTTCATGATGACGGAATAGCGGCAGCATTTTGTTTTTCGAAAACATTGAAAAACTGTATGAATTTAATAGAATTTCAGTGTTTACAAAAATGAAACATCCGGAGATTGAATGAATCTGATAGACTAGTGCCAATATTTCTGGTTCAGTACAACTGTAGCAGTAAAATTCGAAACACTTTTTTTTGAAAACTATCGCGGCAGCGGCAGGTTTTCAGCCGCGATTGATATCTCTGAATCATATCCACATCAAAGAGAGGAAAAGAATAAGAAAACGTGATAAACAAACAATTTCTATACTAGCAAGACAATTGAGAAAGACAGATAAAAGAACAGAGACCGCCCTTAGCAACAAAGTAAGTTGATATAACCATTTTTTTAATACATGTTCATGACCAACAAGTGAACTGCGAATAAAGCTCACTGCATAAAATCATTTATTATGTAAATCACTTCCAGCAATGGAAGATCCCGTATAATTAATTGATTTATCGCAAAATTGAAATTTTAATTAGTATATTTTACATCATACTATGCCTAGGTTTCAATATTTTGAGTTGAAAAATCTTAAAAGACTAAAGTCAATATTGCTTGTGAACTTTTAAACCCTAAAACTTTCTTCCCAAATCTTCAAAATTGTTTTTTTTTCTTTGAAGGAACCTTTTAATTAAAAATTATAAAACTAATTGAGATACAATAGAAGGCTGTCCAGCTGAAAAATTAATACACTTAAATATAATAAACGATCCAAAGATCTTCTATTGCGAGTAGATATTGAGTTCACTAACAATTTATAACGGAAAAAAATACATAAATCTATAAAACTATGAATTCTATTTGGCAGACATTATCTGCAACTATTGCGTCGCACTGATAATGCCTTGAAGGCGAAAATACTCATGTGTATGTCGCTCTCTAACTTTAAATATTTTCTATATACACTAACTTTATTTATCATTCTAGGAATAACATCCAGTATTTGCCCTGACAAAACAAAGATAGCGAGGTATTACTCAATGCATAATATGTAAACACTATGTAGGCGTATGTTTTGGAAAGAACTAATACGATCTTCTTTAATGAAAGCAAGAAAAAATTATTTATATTATGATGTTATGTAAAATCATTAAAGGGTATATTGCGTTTTGTTGATGATATGATAAAATGTGTTAAAAGGATAAATTAAAGGAAAAGCAAAATAATTTGGATAATTTTGAGAGTTGACAGGAAACTAAATCAAACTTTTCTTCGATAGTAGATTTCAGTTTCTAGTCTAATTTGTTCGATTTATGAAGTTGTAAATGACTGATAAAGAATAGAACATTTTTATTCAAGAAATTCTATCATGCAAATAAATTTAATTGCTTTTGTTTTCCAAAATTAATTCTTCATAGAGAAGTAAACATATAAAACAAATAGAACTATTCAACATTTTTTATTCAAAAATTTATTGTCTTCATTATATTGAACAAAAAAACATCGTTATGTGAACTACGATATTGTTATTTTAATTTTGATCTACTCTTGTATAAAACAAGAAAGTTCACAAAGATTTATCTATACTTTTGATATTATATCACTAGTGAATGTACTGAGTCCAACGTATCTATATATTGAGTCAGTTATCAGCAGGATACTTTATTATTAGTATGTCACAGCAACTTGATTAGATATCCTGCTGAGAATTATCTTGATACATGAATACTTACCAAGTATCTACTCAGTTTTTATAGCATTCTATAAAAAGAAGAATTTTTCAACATATTAATAGATTAAACATTTTCGAAGCATTTTGTAGTCAAGTGTTAAAAATCCATAAATTACTCTAAGATTTCTGTGACATATTAATCGTCAGGTTTCCATAAACTCAGTACATTTACTAATTAGAGCATTGAATTATTTCAACCGTAGAATAAAGAAAACTATAAAAGAAATGTCTCTAGAACATTTGTAGTGTCAAAACGATGTAATTCTCTTAGCATAAATTCAAAATATAAACATATATTGATTGATTATATATTTTTTTTCTTCTGGAAAAATATTTTGTAAATAGCATCTGTTATGTCCATGTAATGAAAGAAAAAGCCAGTATAATAGTAGAGACGAATATAGACACGCCGAGGTAATTTCTCTCTGATATGTTTGTTTTGTG